GCCGTGGGTCGGGACCCCGTGCCCGAGTGTTTATGCTTTACACGGACCCAATGGGTAATTGCAGCGCAGGTTCAGCCCCTGCCCCCGCGAGCATGAAGCACCTTATACTAACGTTTTATGTTACTTAACGGCTCTTTTCCCCTCAAAATGAATATTGCCAATAGCCAGGGTCAACTCACCGTATCAGTGTCGCGGGTTTGGTGCTGTCATCCTGTGCGCTAAGGCAGTATTTGTGTCCCGGTGCCCACGCCGTGCTGGTCTCGCTGCGTATTTTTGCCTCTCTGGGGGCTCTGTGCCATGCCCGTGGCGTGGTGCTGTGCATGTGAGGTCATGAAAACGCAGATGGCATCTCCCACCTTCTCTTTTTCACTTTACAAGCAAGTTCCCGCTGCTTTCTGCTGCATTTCTGCATGTAGTTGTGATGTGTCGGAGGGGCTGATTTGGGACGTGGCCTTCCTGCCCTGTTCCTGAGCAAAGCGCTGCCATCGCTGTGCTCCAGGGCTTGCACCAAGCTCAGTCTCTCTATTTCTATTAAGACCTGTATGATTTAATTTCAAGTCACGGCATTGTCTCCTCAGTACCTGTGTGTCCAGGCGAGGCCTTAGGAAAGTAGCTGCAACATCCATAAATCTATCAGAGGACATCTCTGCTGCCAGCCAGGGGAATGAACTTTGTGCTGCCTCCGGGTTGCGGTCCTGGACTTTGCTATCGCAAATAAAACCCTCCACCCCCATGATTTTTGTGTATGATCAACTAACTGCATCTCCTGGCAGGTAGTGTGTTTCAAGTCAGCCGTTAGCTTTGGCAATTTGTGTATCTGCTTGGAAAAAGAAGAACATGAGACTCTTATGCCTGCAACTGCTGTTACAGCAACACATCTGATACGTGTATTCTTGCAAGTCCAAAGTTGCATTTGAAACATCAAGAGCCTGAATTAGTTCCATTCGGGACCTGTAAACCCCGTCTCTCGGGCTGGATGTATCCAACTGAACGCAAGCGGTGGCAGCAATGCTGTTAGATTTGATTTATGCCGTTTGGGGTTGGTTTTGTCCCTTATTATTGGTGAAAATGTTGCTCTTTGGCCGCCTGCCCCTTAAAGCCTTGCTCGGGTCGCATTAATTGCGTTAATTCCTGCTCTGCTCGGGCTCACAGCCCCATCTGGTGGCACTGGGGCTCCTGCTGGTCTCTCCACAGAAGCTGCCAGCACCCACTGGCAAAGGCAGAACACCCCCTGAGCTGGTGGTGGGCACCCACAGAGCTCTCAGGTCTCTGTGAGGCTCTGGGGCAGAGCTGCTCATCCCCTTTGTGGATGCTTTCACAAAGCCGTGCTGGCTGCTCCTGCACTGACGAAAGCGATTGGAATGTTGCTGTGCTGGGAGCAGAGGTTCTTCGCGTGAAAGCTTTGCGTTGAGAGCATGGGTTTGAGACCCATCAGTCAGAATATATCATATAAGGTATGGAAAAATATCAGACCTCTTGCAAATGCCTTACGGAACTTCCTTCTGGAAGTTCTGGCTTCGTGCACAGCTCCGGCACTGATCCACATGTGTAAGCAGGGAGTTTGATCTGTTACGTCTGTGCTCGCAGTGGCTTCAGACAGGCTGCTCTTGCCTCAAATCAGACAGGTTTAAACAGAGGCGCATTGCAGAATTGCGTGCTTATACCAGCAACTTGTAACTTCCCATAATTGCATCTGTATTGTCAGTTTTCTTCCTTTTCATTGTGAAGTAAAGCTCTTTGTTGCTTGTATTATTCCACACTATGTGTTATCCTTAAATTATCCTTAAATCCATTCATGCTTTCTTAGCAATAGTAAAAGGAATAGTAGGAATAATAGTCCTATTTTCTCAGGAATAGTAAAATACCGATTAGGTAGAATATGATCTCTGCTTCTGCCTTTTGAAATAGATATTCCCCAGTACCCCTTTTAGCCTTATCATTGCACATTTAGCATATAATGTAAATGATACTTTATTTATATGGAAGATTTGAAAATTAATTCTAGTGTTACAGCATCTGTAACAGTTCAGATGAACAGGGGATGGGTACAGGTACGCTGGTGTCCATGTTCCTTCCTATTGCTTTTCACGAGTGTTTTACAAAAGCATTTACCATGTAACTGACCAAGCTGAAATGGTGCTTTTTGGCAGTTTTTAGTTAAACTGCTCTGTGGAATTGCAAACAAAGTGGATTTTCCACCTCCTCACCTTTGTGCAATCCATAACCATGATTTCATCGTGTGGTTTTCTTATTGTTGAACAAAAGAGGCTCAGCTTCACTCGTGTCACGTTTGTATTTATTTTCCTCAATAGTCTTCACAGTCCCACTGGTTGACGACGGAGGAGAGGAACCAGGTTTTACTTGATCTCAAAGCTTCGGGCTGGTCGGAGTTGGGCGAAAGAGATGCCATCTACAAAGAGTTCAATTTCAAAAATTTTAATCAGGTAATTATTGCCAGATACCACTTTTCATATAAAGGAAAAGCTTTGATTTCCATACAATCCGGATGGGAAAACATTTATATTCAGAAATTAGGGAGTAGCTTTGTGGAGCCAAACCCTCAGGTTTGCCTCAATGGATGCTCTCTGATCCCCATCTCATTAGGTGGAGGCACTTAATTCTGTTTTGGAGGTGTTAAGTAGATTTGTTCTAATATTACAATTTCTTGATTATAATATCAGGGTCAAGGTCAGGGCCATTAATATGGGATTAGAGAAATAATATTTGATTCTGGGTTATTTTTTTTCCCCATTATTAGTACTTGTAAGTGAATGCTGGAAATACATAACTGATGGGCAGTGGGGTTCATTTTTATCAGGGAAAAACCTGAGGAAAATGGGTAAATAGAGACTTGGCAAGTAAGGTGGGGAAAATATGGTAAATTTCACCTTCTAAGCAGGAAGACAGAGTTCCAGTATGGTCTTGAATCTATGATTCTCTCTTGAATCTTCTATGATCCTATGAATCATAATAGTTGACCTCACAGTGTGTTCACCATGTCAGAGTGCTGGTTAAGACCTCGCTGGGCTTTTATTAGGAGTCGGGATCCTGAGCCATCTCTCACACTCACAAGAACACACCTGGGACACAAACTTGCACTAGAAATACTTTATATCGAGATCTGCAGTGAGCTACGTCTCCCTAAACAACTGCCTTCTGAGGAGTTGTGACGTTGCTTAGACAAGAGTCACGTTCCAAGAGAAGGCATTTCCCTTCTGTTTTATTTCTGCAGGAGAGGTGAGTGCTTCCTTGGGAGGGAGAGAAAACCCAGGGGTTTGTTTGGGCAATGGCTCTTGCTGAGCTTTTCCTTGCTGCAGGAGGGATGTAGCAAGCTCCAGGCTTCAGGAGGCCGCGGTTTGTTGATGCGTAGGGACCAGGAGCTGTGCTGTGCGCTGTTTATTTACACAGACCTTGTGCCTAAACCCAGTCCAAGATGTTTTAGGAAACCACAGTGAGCTAGATAAACAGCAGTTTGTAACGCTGGCTCTTTTCTTGCTCTTTCAGACAGTAGTTGTCATGGTAATGAAAGCCCAGGCAGTAGAGAGGAGGTGAGTGAGGTGCTCCCGGCCCCTTTGAGCTGGGTGAAAGCAAAAGAGAAAGCAACTGCAGAAGAATCCAGCTCATGAGCAGGACAGTGCTGGACAAGGAGCACATCTGGAGCCACGAGTACATTATTTCCTGGATTTCACTTCAAACCTGAACATTAATACAGAACAAACAGAACCATATCAGCTAATTCAAAGGGCAGCGAAGGAGGGAAGCCCATGAGAGGGAGCTCACATGAAACCCTGGGGAGATGTGCAGGCAGCTCCGAGCTAGAGCAACGAGGAGAGACCAGCATATCTGATACCGATGAGATAAAGTAACTCTTGGAGGAGCTGAGATTTTCAGCCTTTGTGCTTTGAATATTCATGCAGTGGCATTTCTGGCAGGGAATGGTCAAAGTCTTCGTTGGTTCAGCACAACTAGAAATGACTTTTTTCTCCCCAGAGTTAATTAAAAAGTGGTTTTGCACACTGTAGCTAAGGCAATTTGACCAGATGGGCTTAGGCAGTGTGCTCACAGACAGGTCAAGAGACAAATCATTGTGCTGCACCAGCAGGTACCTAGAAAACCCACTGCTTTGGCAAACATTTACAAAGTTGTGGGGTTTTTTGACTGTGTAGATTTCTCTGATAGGGTCATATCCATATGTCTTCCTCATTTGAAGATTAGTGAAGTATACCAGTGTAGGAAGCTGAGTATATTCAAATGTACTCATAAATAAATGATGAGCTATGCATTTATAACTCTAGTATATGTCATCTTAGACAGGGTACTTGAATTGCCTAAAGACAGGGTAGAGAATTGCCACTTGAATGGTTTGGGAGATGTCGGTGCAGCCTCTTTCATTCTTGGTTGTCCTTTATAGATGTCGGGTAAGGCAGAAATGGGAGCAGAAGGCTGGGAATTGGCTTCTCAACTGAACATCAAGCTGGACCGGGGGTTCTGGGTGGATCAAGGTTCTGTGTGAATATCTGAAGGCACAATTTCACCTGTTGGTTGTTATGAACTAGCTGCAGTGTCCCCATTTGCAGTTGCAGAGGGCAGAAACCAGTCCTGTTATTGCAGGGCAGGAAAGGGCTCAGCATGCAGATCCCCAGGGTGTCAGGTTATTAGAGAGCAAGAATTTGCCTTTCAATAAGATGAAGCTGAAAGTAAGTTAAACTTATGCTGATGCTTATATTTATAATGACTGTTAGTAAATACTGTGTTTATTACAGCCTAGGGAACAAACGGCAGGAGTGGGGCTATACCCATGTGGTCCTGCAATGAAAAAAATTGAACTTGTAGGAACAAATTCTTTCATTTCACAGAATAAATATTCTGTTTACAGTATTGAAAGTGTGAGTATTTAGTAAAAGTCAAAGGACTTGGAAATATCATTTCCTCGGTGATCTTCCTGCTGCCCTTTTACAGATGGTTTAAAATCAGGTGTGTAAAATACTAATAACAAAAAAAAGGCAATGGAGCTGACATGAAAGGTATTTCAGATTTATGTGTTGCAGATGATATTGGGATGATTAATGTATTCATTGCTTTTTATTCTTTATTGCTTCTCGCAGATAATGTTCATGATGCATGGAAAATTCTGTGGCTTTAAAATCTATGCCAGGTTTACAAAGTCTGTGTATGTCAACAGATGTTAAGAATATAAACACAACTTTTATTATAAAGTCGTGCAAATGTGTAGACATGAGCTTGGTTTATGTATATTATTTTCAGCATGAGAATGAAATGAAACTTCTGTGAAACAAGAGTTATTTAGATTCCTGAAGCTTTCAGGCTGAGATTAGCTCGGTTAAAAGCGATCAGCAGCGGGCTGCCTTTGTAAGGCTGACAAGCTAATGACACTTCTGGCTTATAGAATTTGTAGCCTACAGCTTGAAAGTGCTCGTGCTGTTTGTTAGTCCAAATTTGCAGGAACATAGAATCATGGAATGGTTTGGGTTGGAAAAGACCTTAAAGCTCATCCAGTTCCAACCATGGAACCAATGCATGGGCAGGGACACCTTCCACTAGAGCAGGTTGCTCCAAGCCCCTGTGTCCAACCTGGCCTTGAACACTGCCAGGGATGGGGCAGCCACAGCTTCTCTGGGTACCTTATGCCAGCGCCTCAGCACCCTCACAGGGAAGAGCTTCTGCCTCAGAGCTCATCTCAATCTCCCCTCTGGCAGGTTAAAGCCATTCCCCTTGTCCTGTCCCTACAGACCCTTGTCCAAAGCCCCTCTTCAGGTTTCTTGTCAGCCCCTTTAGGCACTGGAGCTGCTCTAAGGTCTCCCTTAAGGAGCCTTTTCTTCTCCAGGCTGAACCAGCCCAGCTCTCTCAGCCCGTCTCCATAGGACATGGGGTTCTTTTCTCGAGTCTTCCATGTCTCTTGTCAAAATTGGTTGGATTTGACCAGAAGGTTTAAGGGGCAACTGCCTGTGTGATTACATTTCCTTAGGTAATCACGCAAAGGCAGAAAATGCAGTTAGGAAATTACAAAGGTGGGCAAGTTTGCTGATGGTCAGGTTCAGCATTTACAGCTGCTTTCTTTTATAGGGTCCGTTTTTAATTAAGGTTGTTTTTTAAAGAAAAGGAATAAATCATGTAGGAAGTCTCCATAAGACCTCTAACGTCATTTATAAAATGACAGGAAATCAAACGCTCTAAGAGTTTGAGAAGCTGGTTTAAATACATCTTGTGTTTGGAGGCTGCAGGACCCAGGCGAAAGATGAGCCTGAGTGAAGGGGACAGTGAGGATACACTTTGGAGCATGATGTGCAAGGAGAGTGGAAGCACATGTGTTGCATTGCCATTGCAGAGTCTTGGGTTTTGAGAAGGGATTTAAAGATGTGCAAAAAATCTGGAACTATTAAATCAGTTATTATTCTCACTTTGCATTTCCTTCCCAAACTTGCTAGCTCTCTTGCTTGAAGTCCAGGGAAGAAACATCAGACAGAGCATGTTACGGTAGATGCTTGGGTTTCTTTTCCCCACATTGAAATGCCAATTGTTTTCCTTTAGCTCTAGAGAGACGTGCTCAGATTTGCTCCTTTAAATTCATCATCCTTCTTGTATTATTCCACTTACACATCAAAATGAATTTGGTGGGATAAGCAATGAATACTCTGTAGTTATTTCAATGGTGGTGCTTGGTGCCAGTCCCTGTAATGTAATCGGTGTCGATATTTCAGCTCCCAGCACGTTGCTTTGTCTTCTGCATCGATCAAAGAATGGAAAGGTTGTTTTTATATATGTAGGCTGTGTATTTCATTGCTGCTTTATGCACTTAATCTTTTGGCTGTTGGGCTGAAATACGTCCACGCCTTTTATATATTGAAAACATAATATCCTTTAACCTACAATCTGCAGAGTTAAAATGAATTTCATGTTAAATATTCGGTCGTGGGCCACATCTCCAGCTTTTTATATGCCACAGCGGTCTTGTGGGGTTTTTTTTTCTTCTCCATTGTCTGATAGTGAGGTCATTTTCAGTCCTCTGAGAAATTTTATTCCCAGCCAGATGCGGGCCATATATTAAAAGTAGCACCTGTGGCTAATATCACAGCAGCTTACCATAAATTTACATGGTAACTAGGATTATATCTGTCAAGACTGCTAAAAAATGTCTAGATTTAATTTGATTTCCAGTATTGAAGGAGCTCTCCAACATTTTGCTTCATAAGTATATTTTAAAGGTTAAAATCACTCCATTGTTAAGTTTTATGGCACTCCCAGTGCCCATTAAGTTGATTTGTTAAATGGGGGTCAGAATAAAGCAAGTTGGCTACAGGAGGATCGGAAACCAACCCATTTGTGACAAATTTGGTCCTCGCGTGTGAATCTTCTCAGAGCGCGGGGAGTGATTGGATTCAGGTGCAGCTTATGTCAGTTGTGTTTAACCTCAAAGCCTGAGCAG